CTCTTGATGGTTGCTGACGGTTATTATGAGTGGTTCAACAGTAACAGGAAACCGTTTCTGCTTCCCGAGGATGCTCGAGGGCAGACCTTTCCGCGACGTCGACAGAGACGTTCACCGACACAGTACCATCGTCCCCCAACTCGTGGACGGAGAGCAGGTGCTTCTGGTTCATCCTTAGATGCACCAGCAGGATCTTCACAACAGCCACCATATCCAGCGACTTACATACCGCAGCCATATATGATGCCGCCACCGCCTTTCCATTACCAGATGTCACCGCCGCCTTCACCTGGTTTTATGACCCCGCCGCTGCCACCGTCACAGATGACCCTTCCTGGAGGCTATTATGGGTTTATGTTTGCAGATCTGACTTAGGGTTCATATGCTGAATATTTGGCGGGTTCAGCCTCATCACCCATGGCCGCAACATAGATACCTCATGTACAGTTTTCACACTCAGCAATGTATGGGTTTTATGAGTTTTCCCAGTTTTCGCAGGCCGGTGGGATAGTCAGTCATACACCTTCAGGGTCCTTATTCTATGGAGGTGCTTTATCGTCATCAGCTCCTCATCAACCTAATGTCCCTACTCAGGACGACGACGACGACGACGACGATGATGATGGTGATGACAGCGAGGAGTCACAACCAGTGATACGAAGAAATCCTCCTCGAGACCGACAGCCACCGCCCTACGGAACACATTCGCGATGCATGCTTCGATAGATTTTGTTTTTTATTATATTTGTATTTAGTTTATTGGACTTTTTAATTGTAATTTTTTATTATTTCTCATTTAATACTTACTTTATTTTGTTAAATTTGTTGGACTTTTTTTTAATGTATTTCAGTTAATTTAATTTATTATCATTTAATATCAGTTATTGTAATTTGATTATCATTTACCATTTAATATTTGTTGTAAGTTTGTTGTATTTACAATTATTTTGAAATACCAAATTGTTATCAATTTGATAAAATTTAATGATTGTGTTCGATAACTTTCTTAAGATTGTCACTTATGATCTTTTTTATTATAATCACATATAACGCAAACGTCTAATCTCGTATTATTATATCGTTTTTTAAATCTTCATCAGCGATTATCGAATGACATTAACTTGAAGTAAATGCAAATTAAAATACAAGAATTATTATTTGATAAACAAATACATCATTTCCTCATCAATTGTTACTTGATGGCAACAAAAGTGGACATGTTTTTCTAGTGTATCCTGGGTTTCTACAATGCCCACATCTTCTGTCTTGTCTAGATCTTTCTCGAATATCCATATCGCAATGAATTCAATTAGATTTTGGACGACCACGCTCCCTCAATAAACTCGGATTTGGTACAATCGAAAGCCAATCTTGAACCTCATCAGGGTCTCTGTCATTACCTATGGGGGGAAACTCAAATCCGTATACCTTAAAAACTTCATATAGTAGGTATACGATATCCACAAAATGGTTATAGTCTTGACGTGTATGCGAGAAAGCTACTATCACATGAGAGCATGGATACTTCAGAGCTTGAAAAAACTCGCAGTCGCACGTTCTGTCCCTTATATTTACTCTTAACGACATAGCTTCAATCCTTTGAAGAAGTCGCGATAACTCTATGACACTAAATATTTCATGCCTTCTAGAGAAGCTTGTTACAGACATACCATTTGATGCAGAATTTTTTTTATGTAGATCTGCAACTAATTTAGGGTGATAGACATGACAATCTTGCATCCAGGTTTGAGCTTGTCCCTCGAGCTTCGTAAAAAGCACCCCCAAACGAAAATATATAGTCTTTACCAAAGCCGCTACTGGTAAGTGACGTGTACCCTTTAAGGTTGAATTGATTGCCTCTGCCAAGTTGGTCGTCATGTGTCCATATCGATATCCACCATCTTATGCGTTCGTCCATATTTCTTTATCGATGAGGCTGATGTAATCGTATCATTTCTCGTTCTTCACCCGTAAATCTTGAAGCATTGATTCAAACGTTTGAGGAAGTAGTTCGTAACCTGATCAAAAAATGTATAACTTACTAACCTGCTTTCTTTGCATAATTAAAATGATCGAAAGAAAACAAATCACATCAGTTTTACTTACCCATGAACACAATTAATTAACGCTCATCATTCTTCTTGTATCTTCCATGGTAGTTCGAAACAATGTGTCAGAGACAATATCTATGTTGGTCAAAGGGTGGTTGCCACATTGGACCCAAAGACTCCATTACTGCTTTGATCCCAGCTCCGCGATCTGAAATGACACATATGTTTTCCCTCGTGATAACATGTGCACGTAAATTTCGGAGGAAAAAAAACCCAAGAATCTGTATCTTCTCCTTCGAAAAGAGCAAAAGCAACTGGAAGAATGTTATGATTGCCATCTTGGACAACTACCAATAATAAAACTTGCTTGTATTTTCCATACAAGAAAGTCCCGTCAATCTGGACCACATGCTTGCAATATTTGACAGCATTAACGCACTGTGGGTAACTCCAAAAAACCTGGTAGAATTGGCGTCAACCGCGAAGAACTCGATCATTATGGTATGCATAGGAGGTTTCAAAGTCCACAATTATCCCATGATTCAACGTCCGCACCAGCCTAAACTAACCTGGAAGTTCGTTGTAAGATGCATCATATTCGCCATGAAGTTTGACAATGGCATTTTGTTTTGCCAACCAAGCTTTTTTATAGGAGACAGTGTACCCATACTACGATTGTATAGCTAAAATCAACACTGCAACAACTATATGAGAGCTTGTTTTTACCATGGGCATGATGGCTTGGCATATCATTTCAGAGTCCAAGTTTGGATGATCTTGGTTGACCCCTCCAGCACAACATGTGTGAGGATCGTGGTATACTGTTAGTTTTCATATGTTGTTTTTCCTCTTCATTTTGATACGCGAACCATCCAATTGCATCTGTTTTCGCGTCGGGCACAGTAGCATACATATTTTTCGGTCGTGGATTGGTTGACTCTGGACTGAACAGAATTACGGATATTGTAATTTGTTATAGCCATCACCGCTTCTTCTTTGCTTAAAACTCCATGCCTAAAGATAACTCACCATTATTTATTGATGAGTAATATCCATAGTCACCAAGATGAGGCATATTCGCAAATTCTGGCCCGTACATTGCACCATAATCAGCTTCATACATGTGTGTAGGAGGGTCAGTTTGTGCCACATTTTCTGGAACTTCATCATCATCGGAGTTGAATTGCGGTGATTATGGGTGAATGAATAGTCCAGTCTCAACACCATCCACACCAGGCTCACGAAGCGGTTCTTCTGGTGGAGATGATGGTTCCTCCATGCGCTCCACAATTAGGTCGAAGAACCTACTACTTGCACGCCTTCCCCTTGAACTAGAAGGCATATCGACATTGAGATCGAAAAAGCTCGCAGTCGAATGCCTCCCCCTGGAGCATGAAGCCATCGTGTCAAATGGAAACTGCACAGATGGTTGCGTTGATGACATCTCCATATGGTCAAAGAAATTTGCAGATGAATGTCTTCCCCTTGAACTGGATGCGGTGTTGCCATACGGATTGTTCATAGACCCACCTCGGTACATATCGTAAGGAGTTGCGGATGAATGTCTCCACATTATGGTATTAAAATCATTACACATTACTGTAGTCGGGTTGTTAACTTGATCAACTTGTTCAGCCAGCCCATAGTGGGAGCTTAATGATTGACCCCGAACAACACGCACTTGAACAAAATGTGCATACATCTCAATAGCGGCATCTGAATAATTACTTTGAGCTTCAACCATCATTTCAACATCATCATTGTTCGAAAGTTCGAACGCTGTATAAGTTAATGGCAACAATGACGTTGGAAATCTGTAATGCAACGACGACATTCTTCTACTACTTCCAACATGAATCTTCCTCGAAATCTTCGGTATCAGCTCCTCAAGAGTTATGTTTCTCTTGAATGATATTTTAACACGCTCATTTGATAAGAAAACAACGTCGGTTTCATCTTCTCGAATTTCACCATCATAATAAACAATAGCTGAAAGTCGCGTCATTCTTTGAGTTTAAAAGTGCGGTAATATTATATCTGCAAAAAAAAAATAACTGAAACAACCTGATTAAATAAATAATATATGAACGAAAATATAACACAATAAAATTTTTACACACCAACGTAAATAATTTAAATAAAATAATTTTATATTATTACCTGCACCGCAAAACTATTTCGACGTATGCTCCCGCTTTCCAATTTTACAAACACAAAAATTAATTGAAAAGTATAATATTTTTTCAAATAATCATAATAAACAATAAGTATAATAAAAAAATTTATAACAAAATTACTTTATAACGAAAAAATCACACGAACTTCTAAATCAAATATGAGAAGATTGTCAGAATTATTGATCTGTTGACAGAATTGTTGTATTAATTTATAAGTTGAGAGGAGAGATGTGAGGAGATGTGAGGAACTTAACGGGGGAGAAGGACATTTATAGCTGAAGTCGTTATACAATGTGCGGTACCTGCACTGCACATTATATAATTATATAAAGGTATGACGCGATCCCTACCCCGCGCTATATATAATTCAGAATTAAAGGTAAGGCGCGGCCCTTGCCCCGCACTATACCTTTAAGTGGCATAAGGCGCGTCCCAGGGGCTGCGCTATACCCACGTGTATCCATGTCAGCATATAACGCGGTACAGGGGGCGCGCCTTACCTACGAGGCGCCAAATCAACATATAACGCGACTCAAGGGACGCTCTTTACTGCTAAAGATGTTAGATAGATAAATATAATCTGACTAATAATAGATCGATAAATATACCGATCACAAGAAAAATGCCTATATATATATATATATATATTTGAATTGGAAAGGAGAGATGACATATTAATATTAATACCTTATATAGTCTCTTGATTATAATCAATCTTCTTTTTCTCTGTCGACTTTGCTTTGCCTTTTTTTTCTTTCCCACTAAATCGATCATGGAATTACCAGAAGAATGCTGGGAGTCGATTTTCAGTTTCTTAGAACACCATCGGTACTTTGAACCTCTTTCTTTGGTCTGCAAGAGATTTCTTTCCATCACCAATCGTCTTCGTCGCACTCTCACCATCACCGACCCAACCCTCGAATCCCTCCCTAATCTCCTCCTCCGCTTTCCAAATCTCACCACCGTCGTTTTCCGTGATTTCCACGGCAATCTCGATTCGGTTCTTTACCTGATTTCTCAGTCTGGGTTGCCCTTGAAATCCCTCAACGTTTCGAGCCACAAGTGTTTCCCTTTGCTGGGTTTGAAACACTTGGCTTCCAAGATAAGGAATTTGGTAGAATTGAATTGCTCCAAAACTGGGTCTCTGAAGGACTCTGATTTGATCGAGATCGGGAATTGTTTCCCTTCTCTTGAAGTGGTTGACATTAGCTACCATGATTATGGATGTGGGTTTTCCCCTAATGGGTCATTGGATTCCAAGAGCTTGTCTGGTTTGGTTACCGACTACGGGATCCTTGGTTTGTCCTCATCGCTCAAGAGTTTGCGCAAGATTGATCTTTCTGGTAATACCTTTTTAACCGATCAAGCTCTTGTTATTTTATCATCAAATTGTTTAATCTTGAGTGAAATTGGGATTCGTGATTGTGATTTCATTACCCAGAACGGAATTGCTTTGGCTATTCGTAAAAGTGATAATTTGAAGTCCATTTTCATGAATGGAATTGGCATTCCTTCGATGGATGCATGTTTTTTGGATTCCTTTGCGTATGCCAGAAGTTTAAGTGAGCTTGATCTCTCCAATTCGTTTATATCTGATGAATTTTTGTGTTTAATAGCTGAAGCTAACCTTCCATTGCGCAAGATTGCTCTCTCTGGTTGCTTTTGTTTCACATTTTATGGGGTTTCTTTTCTCTTGTCCAAGTACCCGTCTCTTACATATTTGGATCTTGAAGGAGCAAATTTTCTCAATGATGAGTCCATGATAGAATTAGCCAAGTTTTTTGGTAACTTAACCTTTATAAACCTTAGGTTATGCTCTAAGCTAACCAATTCAACCTTGTTCTATCTTATGGGAAACTGTCCTTTGCTAACAAGTATCAATATGGAGAGAACAAACCTCGGTTGAAGCATTTCCAGCTGAAATTGTGGTGAATCCTCGGGTTAAGGCATTGCATTTGGGTTGGAATAACAATTTGAATGATGAATGCTTGAAGATGGCTTCCTGTGTTTGCCCCAATTTGGAAGAACTCAACGTTACCTACGCTCGGGTATTACCAAGGAAAGCATCTTGGAGATTTTGAAGAACTGTTTGCAGATTAGGTGTTTAGAGATAAGCAAATGCCAAGGGGTTAGTAATCTCGAATTGGACTTTGAACTTCCTAAACTGGAGGTTTTGCAAGCAGAGGGATTGGCAATTGATGATGAGACATTGGGTTCAATCGGGAAGCTGTGTGGACGTCTATCCCTTTTGAATTTGGCAGGTTGCTTGAATGTGACCGCCAGAGGAGTTGAAGGCGTGATCATGAACTGCAAAGCATTGAAAGAGCTGAACTTGAAATGGTGTAATAATGTGAGTGTAGACATTGTAGCTTGGATGGTGCTTTCAAGGCCATCTTTGAGGAAAATTACACTGTAATGTGCTTCAGTTTCTACCACAAACCAGATGAATTTTTTCTTGCGCCATGGATGTTTGGTCTGTCAAGGCTAGCTAGCTTTTCGACAGAAGTGCGGAAATGCCTCCATTTATGTTCAGATTATATTATAAAGAATTTAATATCAAATTGAACAGTTACATAATGAACTAGTCATTGTCTATTTGCCTGTATTTTCTACTGCCTTGCAAGGTAACTGAGTTGTTCGATAAATTGCAACATAGAGCTTGCTCTGACACAAAAATTGTAATGAATTCATTTCACTTCACATTCGGTGTTTAGTTTATCTGTTTGACTTTTTTAATCAAGGCTTTTCTTTGTTGATTGGAGGAAGAAGGGAGTTGGAAAGTGTAAATAAAATAAATTTTTCGGTAGGGAAGAAAATTGAGAAGAAAGAAAATGATAGTGAAAGTCATTTTAAGGGTAAACCATCGGATTGATGACTTTCCTTTTATATCTATATATTTTTTGCTCATTGAAGTTATATTTTGATCACTCTCAATATTAATTTAAGTTACTTACGTTATTGATTGTCTATTTTAATTTGACTTTTAAATTTTATATATTATATAGAATATTAGTTTGATCTTTAATTTTAGATAAAATATCAATTTAATTTTAAATAAAATATTAATTTAATCCTTAAATCTAACAAAATCTCTTATTATTAGTCCTCACTCGTAAATTTCATCGCAGGTCGTCGTCGATGATTCGTTTTTTTCTGTTTCCTAAATGCAAATACGATCCATTTCACCGACTTAACAAAAATAACCTAAGATTTTTTAAATTCTTTAAAAATTAAATTATAGTAATAAATTTACCATTAATATTCCTTTAAAAATAAAAACATCAAAAATCTAAATCTATAACATACTCATATGCATAAATTTGTTATTTATAATATTGTTGTGCTGTAATTTTTTTATGTTTATAATATTATTTATATTTTTTTAATATTTTAAAACTATTTAAATTTTTGTAGTCCAAAATATTTTCAATAAAATTAAAAGCATATATTACCCATTAAAAACTTGTAAAAGAATATTATTCATATACAACATAGATATCTAATACTCACACCAATGTCCTATGCCATGACAAAGATGCATGGGGGGTTCAAACATTTTTTTCTGCAGAAGAAACGAACTAATGACTCCGTCTAATGCGTTAATGTTAAACTAAATTTCACATCCACACGAATTCAAGTCGTAAAATTTTATTTTAGCAAGAGGTTTAAAATGACCGACTAAGAGGTTGTTTGTTTATTTTAGAATGATTAAGTGTTGAATGATTCAGAGACTCTACATGAATTAGCTCTGAATGTGACATGTTGTTTGATAATGACTCTGAATCATTCAGAATATACTTTTATGTTGTTTTGTTGAATGAATCAGCACTGAATCATTCAGAGGTAAAAAACAAACAGCCTGAATACTAAATTATTCAACATTGAATGATTCTATTAAGAACCAAACAAACAACCCCTAAATGTATTAAGAAGTCGAGAGAAAAACATCCCACCTCGTCTGATTGTCAACATTATCTTTATATCAAACCATATTTTACCACTAGTTTTGTTTTAACCTTGTAATATTTTCTTATATAACATGAAGTTATAAAAGAAAATTTGAAAATGATTATGACTCGGTAATTAAATGCAACTGATCTTTACAGACGATGTAGAAGTAGAGTAAATAATAAAGATGCCGAAAATCCGAGTCTCCCAGATTTCACACTCGGCTCTCCACGGCGATTTCAAAGTAAATATAGCTTCAAACTGAGCTACTGCTGATTAACAATGATGATGCCTACCTTTTCATTCGTTCAGCTTGTGTTGTCAAAATTACCTTTATGTACTGTCTACTGAAACTGAATTAACTCATGAATCAAAAAGAGAAGTAATTTATTTCCATTATCACAAACAGCATGGTATTTTTAATTCACTGCAACATCGGAATAGCTTTAAAAAGAAACAATTACAACCCACTAGTGCTCAACTCAAAGTAAAAAGATTCATTTCATCATCATGCTACAACATACCCTATCTTTGTTTCAGGGATATTCCTGCAATCCAAAACCATAATGATCATCAAATTTACTACTATATATCTTCCTACTTTGACTTGCAACCCATTAAAGAACCTTTGCTTCAATGCACCATGCAGAAGCATAACAAAAAGTATCTTCGCACCATCATTAGTTTCAGTTAAACAAGGTTAAAGAAAGAAAACAAATAAGAAACTGCCACTTTAATTATTTGACGTAGTGCCCTTGCTATTAAGTCCCACGCCTAGCTTCAACTCCAATTCCAACTTCCTTTTCCCTTCATTTCCTCGAAGGCTACTATCACAACTGAACAGTTGATCCACGGAGGTGACTACCGCGCATTTCCTCTCGGTTTTAGCTTTGCCTTTGACCTTCTTTGCCTCCAAAGATGACGACGAGGTGGAGGGTGATGAGAGAGCTGGCAGTGCCGAAGGAATTTCAAAGTTGGTCTTGGCTTTTGACCCTCTCAGCCGCCTCGCCGCTGCATCATAAGCACGCGCTGCCTCCTCCGCCGTGTCGAACGTGCCTAGCCAGTGCCTGCACCGCCCAACTCGGTCGCGTATCTCCGCTGACCACCTCCCCCACGGCCTCTTTCTCACACCTCTGTAGCTTTTCTGCACTGGTACACTAATACTGAGTTCTCTCTTGTTTGCCCCGAAACGTTGTGACGCAGAAACGAAACCTGACCTATCGCTACCGTTGCTGTGGTTGTTCTCCGCGGGGTTGGTATTGTCACCAAATAGAACGTGCTGGCCAACCACGGCCGCTATCCCATCGAGAATCGGAGGCATTTCGGGACCGGTTTCCATTTTAGTTTCAGGTTCATTTTCATTATTCTTATCAAAGATATTAGATGAGAAAACATCCGCAATTTCAGTGCAAAAGGGTTGACAATTTCGCTTGTAAAAATGGGTCGGGGCTACCATTGAGGAACAAGAAGGGATTTGAGACAAACCATCGGGACGATTGTTATGCCATGAGGCTTTGGACGCCTCTGGCGCATTGAAGTATGGAACGGCTTGGATGGAACGGTAATGTACAATGGCAGGGCTTCGCATTTTAGGAGGTAGAGTCGATGGGAAGACGGATATTCAGAGTTCGATAAATGTGCGCAACTCTAACTACATATATATAGAGGAAAACCCAGTTATTAATATTATTATATAATTAAAAAGAAGGTAACTATTAATTTTAATACCTGAATAAAGGATTGGACCAAGCTTATGCAAGTGATGCAAATACAACAACATAGAATAAGGCAACAGTTAGGTTAGGAAAACCGATAAATTTCATGTGTAGACATGAGAGATTTCCTCGCATATCAATTGAGATAATTGTTATTGTCGCATTTTATCATATCTCATTCATAAGGTTAATTTTAATTCAGTTAATCGTCAATTTTTTAACAAAAAATAAATTGTTTGAAACATATGAATAATCAGGTGATCATTTATGTATTTTACTTATTTATTTTGTGAGCGTAAAAGAATATAACATATAAAGATAAAAGTATTTAAATATTATTATTAATTGACTTTTTAAGTAAGACATTTTAAATAAAATAATTTTAAAATAAGTAAGATACAAATTTAATAGAAAAAAGTATTTATTGACTTTCAAGAAATTTATAGTTATAGATATTATCATAATTACTGATAAAATATTAAAGCTCAAATATTTATAGATAATCTTCCTTCTCAAATTTACGAAGATAACAAAAAAATATACCCACAGATTAAAAGATTGAAAAACTAATCTATTATATAAAAAAAAATATTAACGAATATTGAAGACATGGAATTTATTGGCAATTTTCCTAATAAATCACCGGTGATCGATATATTTACCGATCTAACACCAGTCAGATTATATTTCCCGATCTAACACCTATAGCAGTAAAGCGCGTCCCTTGAACCGCACTATACGCTGATTTGGCGCCACGTGGGTATAACGCGCTCCCTGCCCGCGATATACGGTGATCTGACGCCACGTGGGTATAACGCACCCCCTGATCCGCGCTATACCTGGGTATCTGACACGTGGGGTATAACGCGGTGCAGGGGGCACGCTATACCCCTAAATACACGTCCCCATCCTCTTATAAATACCCCCATCCTCAATCACTTTTATCATACCAAATTTTCTCAAATTCTCTAAATTTCTCTCAAATACTCTATCTTTTTAAGGTATATTTTATAATATTTTTACTATTATGTATTTACTTTATTTAATATTTTACTAATATTTGGACCAAATGCTTACAGTATTTGGCAGCATTAACGCACTGTGGGTAACTCTAAAAAATCCGATAGAATTGGCATCGATCTCGAAGAACTCGATCATTATGGTATGTATAGGAGGTTTCGAAGTCCACAATTATCCCACGATTCAACGTCCGCACCAGCCTAAACCAACCTGGAAGTTCGTTGTAAGATGCATCCCATTCGCCATGAAGTTTGACAATGGCATTTTGTTTTGCCAACCAAGCTTTTTTATAGGAGACGGTGTACTCATACTGCGATTGTATAGCTTGAAGCCATCGTGTCAAATGGAAACTGCACAGATGGTTGCGTCGATGGCATCTCCATATGGTCAAAGAAATTTGCAGATGAATGCATTCCCCTAGAATTAGACGCGGTGTTGCCATACAGATTATTCGTGGACCCACCTCAGTACATATCGTAAGGAGTTGCGGATGAATGTCTCCCCATTATGGCATTAAAATCATTACACATTACTGTAGTCGGGCTGTCAACTTGATCAACTTGTTCAGCCAGCCCATAGTGTGAGCTTAAAGATTGACCTCGAACAGCACGCACTTGAACAAAATGTGCATACATCTCAATAGCGGCGTCTGAATAATTACTTTGAGCTTCAACAATCATTTGAACATCATCATTGTTTGAAAGTTCGAACGATGTATAAGTTAATGACAACAATGATATTGGAAATCTGTACTACAACGACGACATTCTTCTGTTACTTCCAAATGAATCTTCCTCGAAATCTTCGTTATCAGCTCCTCAAGAGTTATGTTTCTCTTGAATGATATTTTAACACGCTCATTTGATACGAAAATAACGCCAGTTTCATCTTCTCGAATTTCACCATCATAATAAACAATAGCTAAAAGTCGCGCCATTCTTTGAGTTTAAAAGTGCGGCAATATTATATATACAAAAAAAATAACTTAAACAACTTAATTAAATAAATTATATATGAACGAAAATATAACACATTTTTTTTACACATCAACGTAAATAATTTAAATAATATAATTTTATTTATTACCTGCACCGCAAAACTATTTCGACGTATGCTTTCGCTTTTCAATTTTACAAACATAAAAATTAATTAAAAATAATTAGTATAATATTTTTTCAAATAATGATAATAAACAATAAGTATAATTAAAAAATTATAACAAAATTACCTTATAACGAAAAATCACACGAACTTCTAAATCAAATATAAGAAGATTGTCAGTATTATTATTCGTTGACGGAATTGTTGTATTAATTTATAAGAGATGAGAGATGCGAGAAGATGTGATGAGAGATGCGTATTTATAAACATATAAGACGCGGTACCTGCATCGTGATATATGTAATTATTATATAATGCGGATCAGAGATCGCGTTAAATATAATTTTGGTACGGTGTATAGCGCGGCCCCTGATCCGCACTATACCCCTATGTGGCGTATAGCGCGGATCAGGGGACGCGCTATACCCACGTGGCGCCAGATCACCGTATATCGCGGGGCAGGGGCGCGCTTTACTGCTACGAGTGTTAGATTAGGAAATATAATCTGACTGATGTTAGATCGAGAAATATAATCTGACTAATATTAGATCTATAAATATATCGATCACCGGTAATTTTTTTAGGGAAAATTGCCGAATTTATTTAAGTGATTAAATAAAATAAAAGATATATTTTGAAAATGAAATTTAAAATAACATTAATTAATGGTGTAATAAGATCTTATTTTGGATTTGAAGATGTTCCTGTCATTGTCGATGAGACCGTAATCCGTAATATTTACGTTCCCGGACCTCTTGCTCGATTACCGTTTACTCTTCGAGTTCGTCGTAATTTACAACAAATGTAGACTTGAGCAACTCTTTCAAGACGCGGGCGGCGAGGACAAAAACGTAAAACAACAATTTTGAAAAATTAAAGTAGCTCATTTAAAGGATAAGAAAGTCCTAATGAAACTAGAAGTGTGAGTGAAGGTGATTTGATAGGAGAAATTAAGTATTGGAAATGTCTAAAATAGCCCTAAACCCTAATTGAAACTCTAGATCCTACGCATAAGCAAGTGGGAGAGGGTCATGATTGTGGATGGAGTAAAAGAGGAATGGAAAACCCAGAATCCGGGGAGATAATTACAGAGTGTAATAGGTATTATTAATAGCGCGTAATAGGGTACACCATGGGGTTAATAGCCGTTGGATTACATGACGTCAGCATGGCATCAGAAGATTAGATTGTTTGACGCTTTGACTAGATAGGTGTTGGATGATGATTTCATCATCTGCCCGTAAAGGTGAAATTGCATTTATTATTGATACAAAATCTGAACTTACGAGTTGATGTGAGCATTTCTGGGTTAAGAAGAAAATCTGAAATAAGGCCCACAAAAAATATTTTTGGAATTTTTATTTTATTTTATAGTGTTTAATTAGAGAAAAATAGATTGCTTAATGTAAAATATTTTATTGATCAACACAATTTCTTTTTCATTTTTTAAAAAATGATTTTGATTTAATTTTTTTTTATTTTTAAAATTTTTCACTTTTAAACATAAATATTCAAAATAATATTATTTTATAAATTTAATATTAATATGATATTTAGTATCATTTTAATAAAAATATTAATTATTAACATATTTAAAATAAATTTACTAATATTTTTAATAATTTAATATAATAATAATATTAATACAATAATATACTCAATTATATTATAATAATATATGATACTATTATATTCTTATTTTAATAATATATAATAAATTATTAATAAAAATTATATTATTTATTAATTTATTAAAAATAATATTATTGAATTATTAATAGTGAATACTTTTATTTATGTATTTAATATTAATATAATAATCTAATAATATTATAAAAATTCCTTAAAATATATTTATTAATAATTTTAAAATATAATAGAATATTTTTATAGATATTCAATATAATTTATCATATTTTTATTTTAATAGAATATACTAGAGTTAATATTTTTATTTATAAATTTATAAAAATAAAATTTTAATAATAATATTGACATAAATAGTATTAAATAAATTATTCTAATATTTTTAAAATAATATTATTATTTTTTATAATAAATAATATTATTTATTATATTTTATATTTGCAATAAATAATTTCTAAAAAAATTATTAACTAGTGAAAATAGTGTACACAAAATCTTTCAAACATCATAAAATATTTTCTACAAATTATTTTTCAGAAAATATAATTTAATTTATGAAAAATATTTTTAAGTGAAACAAATGGACAATAAGTCACCGCTTTGGTTTAATAGCTATATAAAGATTCTTTCAAAGTCAATTTAATCAATTAGTTCCATTGATTTTTTGTAACAAATATATATTATTTAATCAATTTAACTGTTAACCGAATTGGTTGATAAAACCGATTTATATATTGTTTTAACTATATATATATATATCATATTTATTGGTTATATAATGAATAAAAATAATTTTATATAATTCATAATTTAAGATGTATATGAGTAGAAAATAATTATTTTCTAATTTAGTGTGAATATTATAGTATTCATTGGAAGATGCTAATATGACTTTAATTTTGTTTCTCTTAGAGTCTTGACAGTTATAAGGTTTTAACAGTGCGAAAAATAGGAAAAATACATTGTGCTCTCGACATCTTTTCAAGTACTGTAACAATTATATTATTTCAAGAAATAATTTTGATCATACTCTTATTCAGCCAATAACTTTTTTGCAATCCCACACGAGCAATTCAACCGTGTTTACATCTTATACTAATTATTA